CCCCGCGGATTTGCGTGAGGGGTGGCACCGAATTTCAGAAGTGTTGCAAATCCGGTATGTTTTTGGACCCTGACCCCGCGGATCTGCGTGAGGGGTGGCACCGAATTTCAGAAATGTGGCAAATCCCGTGTGTTTTTGGACCCTGACCCCGCGGATCTGCGTGAGGGGTGGCACCGAATTTCAGAAATGTTGCAAATCCCTTGTGTTTTGGACCCTGACCCCGCGGATCTGCGTGAGGGGTGGCACCGAATTTCAGAAATGTGGCAAATCCCTTGTGTTTTTGGACCCTGACCCCGCGGATCTGCGTGAGGGGTGGCACCGAATTTCAGAAATGTGGCACATCCCCTATGTTTTTGGACCCTGACCCCGCGGATCTGCGTGAGGGGTGGCACCGAATTTCAGAAATGTTGCAAATCCCCTGTGTTTTTGGACCCTGACCCCGCGGATCTGCGTGATGGGTGGCACCGAATTTCAGAAATGTGGCAAATCCCATGTGTTTTTGGACCCTGACCCCGCGGATCTGCGTGAGGGGTGTTGATTTCGAGCCCCCCCAGCAATTCAGACAACGCGCCCCCCGTTTGGGCCTCCCCCCCCCTCGCGCGGTCAATCAACTAGTTACAGTAACCAGCAAGAAGCAGAACTGTAACACTGGAAACTACAAACTACAACTGGTACAGGAAACTGCGAATCACGGGCCTACAGCCTGGTGGCCCCACAAGGGGGCCGGCGGATATGAGTTTCATGACTTGAGGGCGGTTCCTTTTCAAAGTGTGGCCCGCGCTTTAGCGCCGCGCTAATTTGTTTTAAACATTTGCAAGAGTTTCACGGGTTCTCATGATCAACGTACCAAACATGGTGTTTTGGACGGATTCAGGTTTATGAGGGTGTACAACTAATGTTGATTGGCGGGATCAATTCCCATAAATGTGTTTTGGCACGATTCAAGATCGTCAAGACGCAACAGGTTGGACACCCCAGAACAATGTCTTGGCATGCTTCAGGGTCTTCAAGCAGATGTCTTCCGACGAGGCAGCTCCCTCAGTGAAAATCAACCGTTGTAGGGACCTGTGAGGAGGGAGCTTGGAGGGACGTTGTATTTCAACATCGTTGACGCCTCTTGGCTTTACACTGCTTCTCCTCCTCCTCCTCCTCCTCCTCCTCCTCCTCCTCCTGTGCGCTCCCCGCGGCTCGCCGCCGGAGATTGCCCCCGCGTCCCTCCCCCTCCCTCCGCGGCCGCCCTCTCTCCCCCCTCAGTTCTCCCGCCTCTGCGCGCGGGCCCGCTCGCCGCAGCCCGGCGGTGCTGCTCGCGCTGGCGGGTCGCCTCTGCCGCCGCGCCGCCACGTCAAAAAGTCTGGGCTCCCCCCCCCCCCCTGGAAAAAAGGGCGGGAGGGAGGGACAGGGCTCATCTCGACTCCTCCGATTCGATTCGAATCGATTTCGATGGGTTCCGATTCCGATTCGATTCGATATCGGATTCCGATTTGAGGATCCGATTTCCCAATGGAGGCCTACTAGCCTGCCGATGTTTGCCGACTGGCTTTTCCCGACTCGGCTGCCGATGTCCGTAGATCCGATTCATGCCGATCGCCGATCCGACTTGTCGATTCGATTCTGGGTTCTCCTGGAGGGAGGGAGCAGTGCTGGGCATGCGGCTGGGCTCCGCCTCCGCAGGATTCGGGTCCCATGAGAAGCCGGCCCTGGGGAGGGAGAGGAGGAGGAGGCGGAAGAGGAGGAGGAGGAGGAGGAGGAAAAGGAGGAAGAGGATGAGGAGGAGAAAGAATGAGGAGGATCAGGACAGGGCTGGACCGAAACGGTGTTTTGACGATTTCGTGGGCCGTTTTCGTTCCGTTTCGTTTTGCGTTAAAGGCGGATTGAAGACACATTTAGGGGACACGAGAACAAAACGAGAACGAAAAACACCGTTTAGGTTCAGCACTAGATCAGGAGGGGGAGGAGAAAGATGAGAAGGAGGAGGACCAGTGTAAACCCAAGAGTCATCAACGATGTTGGAATTAACCCTCCCTCCACGCTCACTCTTCATATGCTCCTTTAACGGTTCATTTCCTTTGCGGGAACTGCCTCGTCGGAAGACAACCGTATGAAGATCTCGAAGCATGCCAACACTTTGTTCTCGGGATTTCAACGTCGTTTTGGCGATCCAGAGTCGTGCCATGATTTTCTTAGGATGTCAACACCGCGAACCAACATGTTTGTTGCATCCGTATATTCCTGAATCCTTCCAAAACACTATTTTCTGTACGTTGCTCATGGGAATCCGTGAAACCTTTGCAAATCTTAAGAAAACGAATGTGCGCGGCGCTAAAGCGAGTGCCACATTTTGAAAAGGAGCCGCCCTCCATCCGTGATGCTTTTGCAAATGTTTACAACGAATGTGTGGGGCGCCAAGGCGAGAACCACATGTTGAAAAGGAACCGCCCTCAATCCGTGATACTCCTGCATTTTTACGAAGATGCTGCGCGGCGCCAACGCGGGAGCTACATTTTGAAAACGACCCGCCCTCAATCTGTGAAGCTCTTGCAATTTTTGAAAACAAATGTGCGCAACATTTGCAAGGGTTTACAAATAATGTGCGCGGCGCTGAGGCGAGAGCCACATTTTGAAAACGACCTGCTCTCCATCTGTGCAGTTGTTGACGCTTTTTAAGCTTCAGCGTCATAAATGATAAGACAATCTCATGCGAAACGCCGGGCCATAAACACTGGCCCTGGGGTGCGACAGGGAGGAGTTATTTATAAGGAGGAGGAATGGAGGAGGAGGAGGAGGAGGAGGAGGAGGAGGAGGAGGAGGAGGAGGAGGAGGAGGAGGAGGAAGAGACGGAGGCGGAGGAGGAGGAGGAGGAGGAGGAGGAGGAGGAGGAGGAGGAGGAGGAGGAGGGGGTGGGGACTTTGGGGGACTGCGCATGGGAAAACATAGCATCAGGGCATCGCACGTCTGGGTTCCCTCCCTGGAGGGGACGGGGGGCGGTGAGACGAAGCCCCAGGACGAGGATTGGAATCGGGTGAGGGCAAAATCGAGAATCTTTGTGATCCGGCGGCTCTGGAGGATGTCTCGGGCGCCGCGGCCTTCTCAGAGCGCTCCAGGGCGGGGGGGAGGGCGGTGGCGGTGCTGGGCATTCGGCCCGGGCTCCGCGGCCTCCGCAGGATTCGGGTCCCAGCTGTTCTACGCGAAGAAGGGCGCGCTGGGAGCATGGACCCACCTGAGGGTGGCGATACCCTGGAGATTTGATCCTCCAGGCTGGGTGCCCAAGCGGTCCCCGCCCGCCCCTCTCGGGGAACAGCTTCAGGAGGAGACATCACACAGACACGACGAATCGTCGACTCCCAGGAGGATGTGAGGAAACATGGGAAGTGGGGGGGAGGACAAAAACCCAGACTATCTGGGAAGAGATAGGGAATCCTGGGATTTGTGTCTATTTGTTTGTGTGTCCCAGGGCCCCTTTCCAGATACTGGCATGCAGCGAGACTTTCGAAGGTCTATGCTCCTGTCGGCCACGCGCCCAGGGGGGGTGGGGCAGGCTGGGTGCGCCAGCGTCGCGTCCGACGTCCGACCCCTCCCTCCCGTCCCTTACCATGGCGCAGATCTCCCATCTGTTCGCACAATCGAAAGATGGGCCGGCGCTGCAGCGGGAGCACGATGTAGAAGGGCTGGAGCGCGGGGGCGAGGCCCGGACCGCAGACGGGAAGGAGGCCACCGCTGCAGCGGGAGCACGATTTGGAAGGACCGCAGCACCGGAACGAGGCCAGCGCTGCAGCGACAGCGCTACTTGGGAAGGATCGAACACGCCAGCTCTGCCGCGGGAGCACGATTTGGAGCAAGCGGAGGCGCGGGAACGAGGCAAGCGCTGTTGCGGGAACACGATTTTGAACGACCGAGGCGCGGAAATGAGGGCGGCGCTGCAGCGGGAGCTCTTTTTCGGAAGAACTGGAGACGACTGGATGGAAAAGACGCAGAGGAACACCCACATCATGCAATCTTGTGCGCAAAACAAACGAGGAGAGGACGGGACACTCTCCGGACAGAGAGGAGAATTACATACATATTGTGTCATTCGGGGGTGGACAAGACCCCCAACAGTGACACGTCGATTAGTGAATTGTCCGTCTTCGGTTCTCGACGCCGTGGCCGTTATTTTCCGGGCTTGCGCCCGCCAGGTTTGGGCCTCAGGTCGTTTTCACTAAACCACGTTCTACTGAAGAGAGGTCTGCCCACCCCCGAGCGTAAAGCAAACGAGGAGAGGACGGGACACTCTCCGGACAGAGAGGAGAGTAAGGTACACATATCGTGTGGTTGCGGAGGGGGGGCAGGTTCTCGGGAACACCCTTGCCTCTCAGAAGGCGCAGGCCTTATCTGTGGAGCAGCCTCCCTCTAAGAACCCTTCCCCACCCTCCCCCTGCCCGACCCCCCTCCTGCGCGCCGCCAAGACTGGCTTCCTTGAGATCCGACGCCGCGAGAAAGTGCAACATCATACAACATCACGCCCGAACCCCTAATTAGACCCCCTGTTTCCGCAGCATCTCTCGAGCCAGATCCACCTGTGAGGCTCCCGCGGCCCGAGACAGAGCGAAACCGCTCGGCTGGGAACAGAGCGAGCGAGACGCCGTGGTCTCAGGGCTGTTCCTCGAGATGCCCTTAGGAGGAGGAGGAGGAGGAGGAGGAGGAGGAGGAGGAGGAGGAGGGGAGGGAGGAGGAGGGGGAGGAGGTCTCAGGGCTGTTCCTCGAGATGCCCTGGAGGTTCCTTGGGCCCGGTGCCACGCGAGGCGCGCCCGCCCCTCGGCCCTGCACGGGGCCGACGGGGCGGCGCAGAGCCCCGCGGAGGCCCGGGCCCGCCGGGCGGGGAGGTGCCCGAGGCCACG